TACCGACCACACAAGTGATGCAGATGTTGGGCTGGCTCAGGGGCAGCCTCACAGCTGGGGCTCAGGTGCAGGGGCTGGTTTTCATGTCCTTGGCTTTTCTCTTACATTTATAAATGAGCCAAGCAGCTCTGTGGGCATCAGGCTCCAATTTAGGGTGAGGACAGGGAGCTGGCTTTTACGCTGGGGAACCCCTAAATGTCAGAATGGGGTGGGCTTTCCTGAGGCTCCTGTGCCCACACAAGCTGCCCGAGTTCTCTCCAGACAGCGTATTCAGAGTTTCTTGGCTTTGGTTTTGGTTTTGTAAGAGCTCTCCTTTGTTGATGTCTGAGAATGAAATGCCTGGCTCCATGACGGTCCACACCTGGAGCTGGACAGAGGGTTGGAGGTTGACTATTCCATGCACAGACCTCCTAGTATTCTCCGTGTTTCAGCCCCATTCTCACCCCACCCTCCATCCTACCTGGGCCTGTGAGTTCAAAACCCCTGTGGGTTCCTCTGGGCGTACATCTCCATCCCCTTCTGTGCCCCTCTGTTTGTATCCCAGGTCAGTGGTTCTCAAACGTGGCTGCACATTGGGCTCAAAGGGGCCATTGAAAAAATACTGTTTCTGGGCACTAGCCCAGAGATGCTGACGTCATTGGTCTGGGGTCTGGCTCTGCCCTGCTAGGCTGCCCTCTTCCTTCTCGCTCTGAAACTCCAGGCATCTCAGGTCTGCCGATTAGTTATTCCTGTCTCTCGTTGATGCTGTGATTTATACGCAATCAAAATAGATTTAGTATGGTTTTAACGTTCTGCGGAAGGGGAGGAAACACATGCGTCTACCTTGTTCATGAACATCTTGAACAAGAAGTGCAAACCTAATTTCCATGACCGTGTCCAACTTATTCTCCAGCCCCTCCTTCTCTGTGCTCTGTAACTTAGCAGATGCAAACCAACCAGCAAACTCCAAAAGCATTCCCTTTCACCCGTCCACATGCTGCTCCTTCCCGCATCTGTAACGTCACTTGTGCTGCTCCCCTGGTGATTTCCAAGCTCAGAGATAAGCTGTGGCTGGTTTTGGATCAGCTCTCAGGGGTGCCAGGGCTCCTGGTTAGACTCTGCTCCCTCCTGACCTCCCCTCTGGTGTGAGATGGCTCCAACAGTTTCCAGCACCACATTCTCACACAGCCACATTCAGAGGCGGGAGCCAGGGGCAGCGTGGAGCGGGAGCTTCTCCTCAGCCTCCTTCCTCTTGTCAGGGTGGAAGTCATTCTCAGGAGCCCCCAATAAACTTTTCTTACATATAATTGGCCAGAACAGGGTCACATGCCCACCGTGAGGTCAGGGGAATCCCCCCACCCCACCCCTGATACCCGGTCTCTCACTTGACAGCTGAACCAAGCAGGGTTCTGTTGGTGAGAAGAGGGGTGGCTTGAGGGAGGAAGCGGATGATGTTGGTCATGGTAGTTTTTCCTCTCCATTCCTTCTCTCTTCTTGGAGGACACTAGTTATCCATACGTTTGATCTCCATTGTCAGTCCATATTGCTCTTCTTCGCTCTAATTGCTTCCCTCTTATTTTTTATATTATTTTCTTATCCTGTCTTCCACATCATTGATATGGTTCCCTGTACTGTTGATTCTAGTCTCTGCATTTTTAAATCTGCAAAAAGAATTACTTTTCCCTTTGATTGTTTTCTTTGCCCCTCCCCCAATCATATTCTGATATCTTAGTTCATCTTTCATCTCTGGTTCCGTCAGTCTTTTGAAAACTGTTCTTCCTTTCCTTTATTTTGGAGGATGAATTATTTGTGTAGGTCTTATTTTTTGCTTTTCCGCTTTTTCATCTTTGACTGCGGTCTTCTACTTATTTTGCTCTTTGCCTCTGCAAACGTGTGTTTGGATTCCTTTTGACTTTGTTTTCTATCAGGACACTGAACTCCCAGCACAAGAGTCAGAGAACTAGACATAATGGCTGTATTCTTTGTTTGGTCACAGTGGCCTGGGCAGTGTAGGAAGAGAGCAGGAACTTTGGGCAACAAGAGTTTGAGAACCCCGTCTGCTCCATCTGCTCCAGTTCTGTGAAAACCACATGGAGACCGTCTCCGCTGAGTGGAGTATTCCTGTTCCTCGAGGAATGCCCTCTGGGATTCCAGTCCTTTTCTCCTCCTCCTGTCAGCGTGGGCCAGCCATGTGGCGTGACATCCTTGTGGCTCCTGGGCCTCCCCCAACCCCGCCCCTCTTGCTCTTTTGTCTGCTGTCTTTCCTGTCTGGGTCCATTGCTTCTAGAATGGTGTTTCCCAAACTTGTGTGCAGGGTAGCCTCAGGGGCCTGCAAGTGCTCCGTTAGAATGTTTATATTTCATGCTTTCATTTTGATGATAACCTGAACATTAACATGTGCATGTTCTGGATCCTGCAGTGACCACATTATAACAGGCATTTTTGGGGCTCTGCTTGCTTTCGTGTTAAAGCATCTTCATAGGCGGAGCAGATGACGACACAGATGGTGGTCCTGATGGGGACTGTCCAGTGCGTGGTTCACGTAGAGGAGACAGTTGGGAGGATCGGTCATCAGGCAAGGAGGGCAGAATGACAGTAATAACATGTACTGAACACTGGTGACGCGAGTGCTACTCTGAGGGCTGTGAGTGTGTTAACTCATTGACTCTTCCAACAACTCCAGGAGGGAGGCCCTTGATTACTCCACTTTTTTTTTTGGTGAGAATGATTGGCTCTGAGCTAGCATCTGTTGCCAATCTTCCTGTTTTTGTTGAGGAAGATTGCTGCTGAGCTAACATCTGTGCCAGTCTTCCTCCATTTTGTATGTGGGACGCTGCCACAGCATGGCTAGATGAATGGTGTGTATGTCTGTGCCTGGGGTCTGAACCTGTGAACCCTGGGCCCCTGAAGCAGAGTGTGCAAACCTAACCACTATGCTGCTTGGCCAGCCCCTGATTACTCCACTTTTACAGATGGGGAGACTGAGGCTCTGGGAGGTCACGACCCTGCTCAAGAGTAGACAGCCAGTAAGCGGAGTGAGGGCTTAATGCACGCAGCTGGCCCCAAAGCCAAATTTCTTATCCGTTAAGCAGTAAGGCTCACATCAACCTGCCCAAAGGTCAATGCATCTAAAACTGGTTTGCTGAAAAACAGTTTACAGAAGAATCCTTTTCCTAAACAAGCAAATCACTAAATGACCAACGTGCTGAATTTGCTAAATTGATAAAATCTGTACTTCTATCAATGATTGATAAAGTTTATAATGATGTGAATCGAATGGATCAACAGGGCCTATGAGAACCCTGGGGAGCAAAGACTCCAGGGTTCTGCCTTCAGATTGCCTCCCTGACCCTCAGTCTCCTCCTAGCTCTGCCTGTCAGTCTCCTCACCTCTCCCCCCCAACCCCCATCACCCTCTTTCAGGAATCACCAGTTCAGGCTGTCTTGTGAACTGACTTCTTCTTTCTCCTCGCAGGGAGCTGAGTAGAGAAAAATCAAACATTGTTTCAGGTGCTTTTAGGAGGAAACAGTGGAATCCTGTCAATGAAAAAGACAGAAATCTTCAAAAGCTGTTAAACCAGACTATCCAGTACGAATTGCTTTAAGCTTTATACATAGTTAAAAGAAAGAAGGTTCTGGTAAATGGATAGATTTGACCACTTTGATGGCTTGATCATTCACTGAATTGGCCTCTAATTGGCCCACAGCTCTTCTCAAACAGGCACGTCAAGCTCCAAAGTTCCTGCTCTGTAGCGGTCAGTGGCGTATCTGCCCTGCACGCAGAGGTGTGAGATTCCGTCTTTGTAGTAACAACTTTCCAAAGTTCATTCGCGGTAATGCAGTAAATACCCGCTATGGTAGCAAACATCCAAAGAAGAATTTTTCGGTCTAGGGTTTCAGTAGTAAGTAGATAGATATGTATTCAGTGAAGATTTCCATAATGCTGTAATGTTAATTTTTTTTCAGGTGAATCCAACAATTTATAGATCTCTCAATTGTCACCTGGCAGAGTTTTGGTTAAGAATGAAGTTGACTGTCTTGAACTGGTAAACAAAGACTTTAATCAAGTGTTGTCCAATAAATGTATATGAACTGGCAGTCTTTGTGTTAAAGTTAAAAAAATAAATTAATTACTGAACCTAATGTGAACCTACAGTTTTTTCCTATAATCCCAACATTAACGATTTAATTTCAGCAAGACAAAAACACCCATCACATTAAAGTTGTACGTTTGAATATTAGTTTGAATGACCATTGCTTTACTGTTTGACTGCTTTGTTTTTATTTACTTTATCCACATTTATTTGGTTTATAGTATAAATGCTATAAGCACAAGTCATGTACATATCGTTTGATGTTTATACATCTTTAAGTAAATTTTTTTTTTTTTTGGAGGAAGATTAGCCCTCAGCTAACTACTGCCAGTCCTCCTCTTTTTGCTGAGGAAGCCTGGCTCTGAGCTAACATCCGTGCCCATCTTCCTGTAGTTTATACGTGGGACGCCTACCACAGCATGGCTGCCAAGCAGTGCCACGTCCGCACCTGGGATCCGAACCAGCGAACCCTGGGCCACCGAGAAGCGCAACGTGCGAACTTAACCGCTGCGCCACCGGGCCGGCCCCTTTAAGTAAATTTTTAATAAAAATAATTTAAATCAACACTGGATAATTAGAATTCTTTTCTTTAAATGGAACCTGTTTTGGACTACAAAGCAAATTTTTATTGAATTATTGCAAGAAGTGAGGATAAAAGTTGTCTTTAATAAGTCTAACACAAATACCAAACTGACAAAGTAAAGCATAAAATCCATATAGGAGAATTTCATTTATGAATAATGATATAAAAATCCAAATTAAAAATATTATCAAAGAGTATCATATTAAAAGAATAATACATCAACTGGGATTTATTCCAATAATGCAAAAATAGCTCAATATGAGGAAATCTTTCAATATTTTATTAATAGATGAAAAAGAACAAGCATATGAAATTTGCACAGATGAAACGAGAAACAATAAAATTTAACATTTTGTTCTCAGTATAACTCTTTATAATATAAGAATAAGTACATGCTTTCCTAACACGACAAAACGGATATGTCTTAACCTAATAAAAACATCATGCTTAATGGAGAAACACTAGAAGCATTTATATTAAAGTGAGGAACAATACAAGGACATTTTTATCAGTATTATTTAGCATGGCTTTGGAGGTATTAGCCAATGCAATTAGACAAGAGAAAGAAATGAGTCATAAAAATTGGAAAGAAGGAAGCAAACATTATAATTATTTGTTGATAATATGGTTATTTAGTCAGATATTCAAAGGGATCAAATGAAAAACTGTTACAAACAGAAAAGAAAGTTAGTAACAGGAAAATTTATATATGTTATTTGTGCATTATTTTAATCAACTAGTTGGAAGATCTAATGGGAACAAGACCCCATTTACAATAGCAATAAGATGCTGAAACATTATCATGTCAACAAGACCTGCCTTTTGACTTTTACACTGCATGGATATATTATGTAATAAAAATAAAAGGGTCTGTGAATCACTTGAATTTGAAAAATCCTGAGATAGTTCATTTACTGTGCTTAGATTAAGCCTGGTAGGTGGTGGAACTCAAAAAGTGTTTCCCTCTCTTTCCACCCCTCCCAGGCACAGTTGACCCGGAATCTTGTATCTGCCAGCCTCTGGCTTGTCCATAGTCAAAGGCCATTGCTTTCTCTATTCTTGGGTACTGGGCTGGGCTATGACATCCTGAAGTTCCTTCACCCAAGACTCATCATTGTGAGAGGCACCAGGACCCTCCCTATTCCAGGAAAGCATCTCTATCCCCTGACCATCCTTATGCATGTCCCGCCTAACCAGGGGTGTTCCCTAAAGGGGTTAAGATGGTCACAGGTCAGAAATCTGGCTGACTGCTGAAAGGCTTACCTCTTGTACTTGGATATTAGAGTAGCACCATCACTGTGAAGGGAGAAAACTTTGGTGGGAACCCAGGGGAGCAGCTCCTGCTGCTCTGCTGTCTCAGTGGGATGGGTCAGAAAGACATGGGGTCTAGTCCCAGCTCCACCTTAAAGAGGGAGATCTTGAGATCCTGGAGTGCAGGGTGAGGGGGGGAGATCTTGTGAAGGCCCCTCACTGCCCCAGTGTCTCCGTGGTCTCGGTGTCATCCTGGGGTTCTGGGCTTTTCTGGATCTTCTCATAGATAGTGTGGATTACTGGAGCACACTCAGGGCTGTATGAATGGCAGCTGCCCTTCTCCATGTCTTTCTACAATTCAAGAAGAGTTTAGGAGTGGTCTTGGTCAGTTTCTAAGAATTAGGAACAGAATTATTCAAGCTACATCTCTTCATGTGCTTCTTGTCCTCAACCAGGTAGTTCTGGCTCTCCATCCTGACAACTCCCCAGAATACGGCTTGGGTGCGGACCTCTCCCTTGAACACTGCAGAATCTTTCCACTTGCTCTGTCCTAGACCCAGGATGCTAACTCTCTCCACATCCCGCCCACATGCTCCAAGACCCCCACTTTGCTCGCTCCTTCATCTCTTCTTGGTGAGGTTTTCCCTGACAGGCTTGTTAAAATCTCACCTGACCCCTCCATCCCTCTTCTCTGCTTTATTTTCTGCTTAGCACTTATCGTCATCTGACCCTTCATGTTTTGCTTATTTTATTTGTCATTCTCTCTTCCCACAACCTAGAATGTATATTCTAGGAGGCCAGGGATTTTTGTTGTTCTGTTGAATCATGCAGCCCAGATCAGAACAATTCTGGGAACACAGTAGACACTCCGTAAATATTTCTTGGACAAATTTGTCAATCACCTTGACTGCTCTCATTGCAAAAGTGCTTTGAAAAACTGCAAAGCATCAGATAAATGAAAGGTGTTATTACTGTAATCCTCACTTTATAGAAGAAGAAACTGAGACCCAGGGAGTAAGGTCAATCAAGAAGTCAGTATCAGGGCTGGGTTTCTCACCCATTTCTCTGGAATCTGCTCCTTCCTGCCACCCCTATCTCTCTTCTGTGCTTGTCTCCCTGTGTCCTGGAAGAGAATTCATTTTCTCCATCAGACTGGGAGTGCCCCAAGGGCAGGGACTATGGTGGCAGGGGACTTCAGGGCCCTGCTGAGTGTCTGGGTCAGATGTGGCCTGATTTGTTTCTCTGTCCCAAAGTCACACATTACTCCTTTCCTGTCCTCCTCTGGTAGGGGGAGTTGGGGTTTGGGCCCAAGGAGCTATTTCCTGAGTTCCCTGAGGCCCAAATCAGATGGGGACATAACTCAGAGGGGTGGAGACGGGAAGTCACAAGGTGGCAGGCACTAAGGCAATTAGGCATAGTGCACAGAGCACTGGACGGGGAACCAGGACACCCCTGTTCTGCACTGTGCTTGCATGGTTCTCTTCCCAAGCCCCAGTGTTTCTTCTGGGTCCCACTTTCCCAACCTTAAACTGCTTGGACCATATCAGGGGATTTCTAAGATCCCCATGTTCTGTGGCATAATGAGCCAGAGTGCTCCCTCTTTAGAAAAGTGAAAGGAGGGGAGAAGAGAGGCCCCGGCCACTGGCTAGTCCTGGACGTCCAGACAGCGGTGCTACTTGCCTTCTCCTGATCTCTGTTTAGCCCAGTAATTCTCAAAGAGTGGGACCAGGAGTGTCAGCATCCTTTGGGAACTTGTTAGAATTGAGCAAATGCTCGGGTCTCCCTAGACCTGCTGAATCAGAAAGTCTGGAGTCAGCCCAGCAAACTTTATTTTACCATGCTCTCCAGGGGGTTCCGATGTGAGCTCAGTTTGAGAACTACTGCTTCTAGGGAAGTCCCTTGAGTGTCCTCTCCTCCTACAGTTGTCCTGTCTCCAGCTCTTTCCCTTTGGTGGAATCATTCCATCTGTGACCACTGCACCGATTTCCATCTAATGGACAGTGGCCACATGAGATGCTTTCACTGGGACATCTCATCAGTGGTGACAACAATGCCTTTATCCAAACAGGTGGCATTAATGGCAGCATCTCAGGCAGGTAGGAGGGAGACAGACTGCGGGAAGGAGATTTCCTGATGTTCCTCAGATCCTTGGGTCTGCTCCACCTCCAGGCCCTGCTGGTCTCCCCTACTTTTGCTTCCTTTGGGTCCTATGTAGATGGCAGGGTCTACCAGACACCTGTCCATTTACATTCTTGCCTCTCCTGCTCTGCCACCCCTCCTCCCTGGGTGGCAGCAACATCTGATGAGATTGTGGACACATGACCAAAGTGTCCTCCTCATCGGTGGTTTCCTCTCATTTCACCTCAGCTCCCAGCATCCTGTGAGTGACCAGGCACAGCAACCATATCATCCAAAGTAAGGATTGAACCCAGAGCCTGACAGGAACAGAGTACCCTGGACTTCCCGGGATTCATGACCTCTGAGTAGATGTTGGTCAACCTGATTTGATTCCTTCAGACCCACCTCAGGGTGTCCCAGGAGTCTGATCTTCATGTAGGGGGAGTCGTGGCTATCAGCCCCACCAGTGTGCAGGTCAGCAGATTCTTCTGTGGGAAGGGCCTGGGGAGCAGCTGCTGAGCCGGGCCCCTCGGGCAGGAGAGCAGACCCACCTGCACACAGCAGACACCCAATGAGGCTGCGTGGAATTGAGGTGACCCCTCATCAGCCCTCGGGTGAGGGCAGCTATTGCTCCCCAGGCTGTAAGCTCAGGTCCCAGACCCCTGCCCTGTCCCTGCCACACATCACCTTCCTTCCTGGGCACGTTCTCTGCTCCCACCCCCAGCAGGCTGTAGCCCAGCCTTCCAGGGATGATTCACAGGAGAGGTCCATGAGCCTCTGTCTGCCCATTGTCCTGCCCAGTCCTGCCCCGCTCCCTGGGGTGTCCTCCAGGCCCCCCATCCCACTGCTCCTCTCAGCGTCTCTCCAGCACCTACCTCTCCCAGTCTCCATCTTCTTCCTCATCCAGATCCACACTCCAGCGCCCAGGCCCACCATCAGAACCGTGGGACGGATGCCTCTCCAAAGCCGTTTGCTCTGAAATGAATGTGGGGTCAAAGGCTGGTGTCAGGTCTGCCTCAGTCAGGCCTGGTGCAGGCAGGGGGAGGAGGTGGGACCACCCTGGCTCAGGACCTGTATCCCAAGTGGACATCCTTGATACAGCCCTGACAGGTTTCCTCCTTTCTAGTCTCCCTGCACGCTGGCCACTGTCACTTTAAAGTTTCTTCTGCTAGGCTTTCTGTCTCTTCTCTGCACAGGCAACGTGAAGGCTCCTGCTAGCTGGATGTCCCATTGCTCATCCCCTCAACCTGGATCTCTTTTCTCCTCTCAGAATCCCAGAAGAGAAGTACATCCCAAGAGGGAGAGAGAATGGAAGAATCTGGGGTCGCCAGACCTCAGGACACGTTGCGCTCTCTGTTTGGGGTATATTTCTCATACTCCCACAAGAAAACTCCTATTCATCCTTCAAGGCCCAAGTCAGGTGGTCCCTTCTCTGTGATGCCTTTCCCAACTCCTGCAGCAGTTACTCAGTTTCTTTCTTTCTTTTTTGTGCTTGAACCATATCCTCTGTATTTGCTTCGACTTCAGCACTTACTGTGTGGCTTTATATTTAGAAATTTACTCCTCCTCTTCTTTGAAGTATTTTCTAATAATTATTGACACAATCCATGCCACACACTGTGTTGATAACTTTCCATAGATTCCCCTTTGAAATCGCACAACAGCCCTATGAAGTAGATACAATTATTGCACATCTTACAAAAAGGCTCCAAACATCAAGTGACTCTTCTAGGGTCACACAGCTGGTATGTGGTGACGCCCCCCTGCACTGTAAGCTCCTTGAGGGCAGGGGCTCAGCTTACTTCTCACTCACGCCCCCCCAGCACGTGGTAGGCCCTCAGTCCTAGTGCGAGGGTTGAATGCTGAGTGGCTGAGTGAGTGAGGAAATGACACGGAGGAGACTGTTCAGACGGGAGGCCCACGTGAAGCAAGCAGAGCCTAGGGGGACAAGGGTGGGAGGGGGCTGCTGAACTCATCCTCCTTTTTTCCACCCATTGTTCCCTCTGCGTAGTGCTAGGGAAAGTTGGAGGTTTCATACTGTATGAAACCAGGTCCAAGGCTCCTTTGTAAGGGCTTCCACCCCCTAACCTACCCTGGACTGTCCCTTTATCTAGCAGGGTGACACCTTAGGCTGATGGGGGAAGTGGGTAACTGGCTGTAGTGACCACAGGTGCTCTCACTGCTCAGTGGGTGGTTGAACTTTGGTTTACTTACTCAGAGGTGCTAATCATCTCAGAAATGGCACATCTGTCATGCAGCAAAAAAGGGGCATCTATCAGCCTGAATGTGCTAAGCTTTTCCAGCCCATCCAGGGAGGGCCTGAGTCTGGTGAACAGGAGCTTTCCAGGTCTAAGGAATCCTCAGTCCTTAATCCTCAAGTCCTCCTCCTCCCCTGCTTGGATTCTGATGACTAATTCAGCCTTCCGGGCTCCTCAAAGCTGGGAAAGGGGGTGCCCACATGCCAGTCCCAGATTTATGTCCTGGGTGATGCAGCAGTCTCCACATATTGGTCCAATTTCTGGAGTTGCAAGTTAGACTATAACGAGGGTGTGGCCATTCGCCAGGCAGGGGACCTTTCGGTTGCACCACATCAGGTGCCTTAAATTATTCCCCTGTCCCACCACATTCCCTGAGCCCGCCCATTCTCGTCCCTCCCCCACTCTCTGCTAGCCCATTTTCTTCACCCTTCCCAGCAGATCGCACTCACCCGTCGATGGATAGATGTTTTCCGGGTGTAAGGTTGCATTCTTGTCGTCCATAGAGTTGCTGACCATACAGGTGAGGTGGCCATTCAACTGGCCCAGGGCAAGGCTCAGGCTTAGATTCCTGGAGTTGGGGGCTGGCCCCATTGTTTCTCTTGGCTCCAACTCCCTGGGGAGGCCCTTGCTCAGCCAGGTCACTGCCAGGTTCTCTGTGGCTCCTGGGGTCCCACACTCCAGGCTGATGTTGCACCAGCCTGATGTGCGAGACGATGGATGAATCTGAATCTGGGGCTGGGGGATGGGCTCTGGGGCAAGGGGGGACTAAAGAGAAACTGACCTTCAGGACTGGAGGCCCCCCTCAAGTACATCATCTGCTCTCACTAAGGTGATGCAGCTGTGTGAGGTTTCTAACTGCAGCCCTGGGGAAGGAGCCTTCTCCCTCTGGCCCAAGGGGTTCTGACTGCAGCCCAGGGGCAGATGGCTGAGGCCCTCCCATGCCCAGTGAAGCCTAGATGATTAAATAGACAGGATGTACATGATAACCACACGATGATATGTACCCATGATAATCATACAGATGATAATAATTTTATATATTCTTATACATAATCACTACAACATGGGAGGAGTTGTGAATAAAGTGGAAAAACATGTTAAAGTTCCAGTTTTGTTCAGAGAAAGAAAAGGATATTGATTGTCTTTAAATGGAGAAGTAAAAATTTAATTTCTGTAACTGTAGGATAAAAATACAAGGTGGTATGACTTCCAAACTACTAGAAAAGGTTAGGTCAAAAAAAAGTCTACTAATCAAATAAAAGCCAGAAAAAATAAGAAAAAAAAGGTAAATAAAAAACATTAGGGGCCAGCCCCATGGCTGAGTGGTTAAGTTCGTGAGCTCTGCTTTGGCCGCCCAGGGTTTTGCTGGTTCATATCCTGGGCCCAGACTTAGCACCGCTCATAAAGCCATGCTGAGGCAGTGTCCCACCTAGCAGAACGAGCACGACCTACAACAGGAATATTCAGCTATGTACTGGGGGGCTTTGGGGAGAAGAAGGAAAAAACAAACAAACAAAAAGATTGGCAAGAGATGTTAGCTCAGGTGCCAATCTTTGAAAGAAAAAAACAATCCCCCCAAAAAACATTAAACAAGATTTCAGGAGTTTAGGTTCATACCTGTAAAAAAAATGAAATATCTTGGAATGCATTATATCCCCCTGTTAAAAGCCAAGACTCAGATGAGGTAATGCCAGCGGCACGCTATGCCCATTACCTGACGACACGGAAAGATTAAAAAGAAAGAGATGGGAAACAGTAGATGAAGAAAATGTCAAGAAAATGACTGCAGGTGTGGCAATAGTCATTACAGACCAAATAAAATTTAAGATAAAAAACATTAAGCAGGCCAATGAGAGATATTTTAGATTAATATGCAGATACCAACAGGGTTTGGAAATGCATAAATGTTATAAAGCAAAACAAAACAAAATCAAAGCCAAAACACTGTTGGAAATTCAAGGAGAAATTTTCAAATCCACTATTACTCCAGTGGATTATTTTACTGTGGTGGGTAGACCAGAGCAAAGGATGTAACACAGGTAAAAGCAGCCAGTAATGGCCACATGGCCAATCTGAGAGGTGGCTCATCCACACGCAGCCCCACTTCCCTCTCCGTCCTCGCTTCCTCTGCTGTGGAATCTAGAGAGCCAAAGTCTCGCTTTCGGTCTTTCTTGCAGCTGCATTGGTGCTGACCAGGGAAGTGCGGGGATCTGCTGGGGGAGGAAAGGCCTTCACTCCTGAAAAGACAGAGCCCCAGACCGAGAAGGACCTTCCCCTTGTCCTTCTCTCCTTGCTGCCTTTATTGTGGAGTGACGTCTGGAGCAACAGCCACCTCTGGACCACGAGGCAACAAGCACGAGGACAAAAGTCTATGTGCGGTGGATGGCAGAGCAGGAAGACAGAGCGAGCCTGGGTCCCCATGACAGTGCCGAGCAGATGGCCCAACACCAGCAAATGCTATCTCTTGACTTCTTGTTACATGAGTGAAACAAATTTGTTTAAACCTTTGAAAATCAAGTTTTATGCTCATTGCAGTCAAACATATTCTTAACTTACATGCATAGATAACAATAAAAAAGGAGATTCGATCAGCAAAATAAAAAGTGGATTTTTCAAAAACAGGCCAATCAAAAGAGAAAATAATGATATCTAACTAAAAAAATTAAAGCTATAATAAATATCACTAGGAATGATCATTGGGGCATAATTACAGATAAGATATTAAAAAAAATAAGGAAATACTATGTACAACTACATGCCAATTAATTTGAAAATGTAAATGAAATAATGCTTTTCCAGGAAAGTGTAAATGATCAAAATTCTGTTAAGAAGCAGCAGCAATCCTGAATACACCCACAGCCTTAGGAGAAAGTAGAAAGGTGGACAACGATCTGTCCTTACAAAGGGCATGAAGTGCATATGGTTTCGGGGTGAGTGCTGCCCAATGGCCAAGGAAAATGGAATTCCTGTGTTATAGACACTGTTTCAGAGCTTAGAAAAAGGCAAAATGTTTCTCAGGTCATTCTGAAAGGATGGTTGAACTTGAATGCTCACATCAGACAAGGAGAATACCAACACCAAAACAAGACAAAACCCACTTGCAAATCCATGGGTTAATGTCAGTGACAAACAGAGAACTTAAAATTTCTAAATTAAATATTAGCAAATACAGTCACACAATACATCACGATCAAGTTGGGTTTATTATAGGAATGCAAAGTTAGTGTAATCCGGAAATTTATTAATGTAATTTACTCCATTAGCAGATGAAAAGAAAACCACAGCTAGCCCTTATTGAGCAGGTATGCATTTCCAGTCACGGCTCCAAGGGTTTACATGGACTCATTTAATCCTCATGTTAACCCTCTGAAGTTACCTGGATCAGCTGTCAGTAGACTCATCTAGGCAGGGGAGGCAACCTTTTCTGTAAAGGGTCAGATAGCAAATATTTTAGGTTTCACCAGCCATATGGTCATGTCACAACTACACAATTTTGACGTTATAGCATGAAAGGAGCCAAACACAAGATGTTAATGAATGGATGTGGCTGTGTTCCAATAAAACTTTATTTACAAAAACAGACACTGGGCTGGATTTGACCAATGGGTATAGTTTGCCAGCCTCAGATCTGGGGCAGTTATTAAAAATGCAAATGTATGGGCCTCCTCAAGACTGTCTGAACATGTGTCTGGGGAAAATGATATTTACTTAGCTTTTTGAAAGATCTGATTTAATGAATAGATAATAATTTAAATATAAAACCAAGTAGACTGTCTGTTACACAGAGTAATGAAGCACAGATGGGTGTTTAGAAAGCTCGTGCTCT